GAGAGAGGGCTCAGTATGAAAATACCCTTGGCCCCCCTCCCCGCCCCTCTCCCTGGACACGCCTATGAAACTGGTACCGTCTTCGCAGCGCATCATATCGCCTCATATTTATAACTAACAGCTCTTCCACAGTTGCACAAACCGAATTTCCGTCAGTCGGGTAGCAACCACTTGCTCCTGAACAGATTCGGAGCGGCTTTCTCGCTGGGTGCGGAAGAGAGTTTTCTTCAGTTTAAGCTTTAAACCCGGAGTTTTGTAGCACTGGTGTCTATGCTGATGGGGAAGAGAGGAGGGGAAGGAGGGCGAAAAGCCCATGGCCCCTCCCCCTCTCCGGGTCCGTTTATGCGCTTGCTCTACGGTTTCTGGTCTTTGTTCTTCTCGCCCGCATGGCATGCACGATCGACGCGAATGACTTCCGGGACACAGGCCTGGTGGTCGCCGCTCCGAAATTATAGCAAAACTGATCTACAAACGACGCTGCTCTTGATCTGCCGCACCGCCAAACAACACCTACTTGCACTTCCAGGATACCATCCTGTGGTGCTGAAGATGAGGCAGCGCGAGGGACGGGGAATGCACCAGGGGAAACTCATTCGTCCAAGCACGCACACTGCCTCAACACACCGAATAAACGCAGGCAATGCACTGAAACGATACAGCTGCGGGAAGAGCCAGCTGACCGATGCGGGAAAGTGCGGCGCATGCCGCTCGGCGATCAATCGATGTGCTGCCGGCATCTGTCCAAATGGCCAACATTTTTCACTTCTTGTTATTATCACTCAGGGAAACCGAGCTGCACGGGAAGCCGCGAACCCGGAGATGGCCTGCTTCGGCTGTTGCACGCCATATTTCCAAGCGACGGACGTACGTGTGCCTCCCCTTCATGCCCTCGTACACTCCGCTCTTCGATCTTCGAATCGTTATCTTCTATACTGTATTAGTCCCCTTGCAAAATCTCCTGATACCATACCTGCGGGATTCCCCGCGGATCTCCTGGGAAAGCCACAGTGCAGGGAAGCGCAAACGTAATAAATCGGGGCATTGTTTCGTTACCGCCTTATCACTACTTATCTTTGCCGAAAATACAGTTGGTGCCGAATTTGATGTGCGAGGCACTGGGCAAAAATCAAAAACCCCCACCGTATTTCACTCTTAGTGAGAGACGGAAGCACTCGGGAAATAGCACGAGTGGTAGCAAACGTCAACAGCGGCTACCCGCTGCCAAAGCTATCGATAGCTTCCTCTTCTGAGGGTTGCTTACATGCAAGCTGATGATGAGTTCTTGGCATATGCCAGTACCAATTTACCATCGAAACGATCGTAGAGAGACTGGTTGTGCTACCGGTAGAGTCAGTTGAATCTTCGACTTACTGCACCACAACAATGCTATTCCATTGTGCTGTGCCTGCCGGAACGAGAAATTAGTACAGAGCGATTGCAGAGTTATTTGATTTTTACAGCAGCTGCAGCTCTTCTACTGTTGTTTAATGGCGGATTTTTTGCCCACCTTTTATTGATGAAGTGCTATCATTAGATGGATTTACGTCAAATGAGTTTTCACCCTACTGCGTTCTGTACAGAAGGCTTTCGTACACGTAATCCTCATATTTGTAGGCTGTGTGCGGAATTTGAGCTGATTGTACGGTACCCCATATCTTGATCATCTCTTTCTCCGTTTAATCACCGCTATAGCCATGGTGTTCAGTACAATAATTCTTTCATACGTGGAATCCTAATGATATCAGGGATCCGTGTTCCAGATTTGGTGCAAAATGGTACCCGACTTGAAAGTTATGGGTGATGATATGCTGATATATAATTTCAAATCCCATCTGGGAAGTGGATTCGCTTGGAAGTTCATATAGAGCTAGCTCCTAGTGCTGGTAGCCGTATCAAAAAAAGTACGGGAAGAATTGCAAGGGTGATTTGAAAGAATTTGACACATTTAGCATTTTCTTCGGAAGGACAAAGAAAGAAAGTACAAAGAAACGAACACCGGGATCACAGACAAGCTGGCCACCAAGTTCGGCCATAACAGTCCAGACGCATGAGAACATATTGCAGAAATTTCAGCTTTCTAGCTTCTCTGGTTGCTAAATAGAAAGTGCGTAACAATATCGAAACACACATTTACGCACACAGGCAGCCTCGTGACAGTTCACATTCTCGCGAGACATTCGTGCTTAGAATTATCATTTTTATTATGCGTTTTGTGCTGTATAACAGCAGTACAAAACGCATATTGTTACGGGGTTGTCTGTGTG